TATGTTATATGTTATATGTTATATGTTATATTATATTTTATAATTTATATTTTATACTATAAATAATATATACTATATACTATATACTATATGTTATAGACTATATACTATATAATACATACTATATAATATAGACTATATACTATATGTTATATGTTATATGTTATATGTTATATTATATATACTATATACTACATACTATATGTTATAGACTATATACTATAAATTATATAGTTTATATATTATATTTTATAGTTTATATGTTATACTATATCATATACTATATACTATATGTTATATGTTATATGTTATATACTATATAATATATAATACATACTATATAATATAGACTATATACTATATTTTACTATTTTGAAGTTTCTCGGATTTGCGTGTTCTGGTGCTGGGACATGGAATTGTGCTGGCGGCCCATTTATATGAAGGGTTACGATTTAATGCAAATGAAGTGTATGTGCAGGATTGCATTTAATTGTCTGCGTTTTATTTTCTAATTAAAATAATACTATACTACTCTATATTTTATCTTCAAATACTGAAATACAGCAGCGACTCATCGTTAAACGCAGGATTGCATTTAATTGTTTTGTGGCAACTTTTGTTGTTTGTTCCCAAGTCAATAGCATTATTTCATCTTCACTTACACCTCATTTGCCCTTCCAATTCCAATTCTCTCTCTCCCTCTCTCTCTGTGTGTGAACTTTTCAAGTGAAATGGAAGCAAAAGTTGCAGTTAACAAGCATTTTTTCAAGGTGATGATGCCTGGTTTCCATGAAAAACTGGTGAACCCTTAATATCATTTTCTTACTTTTCTATTTTTGTATTTTTTTTTTCCGGTTCATTTCAAATGTCTCTCTAACTAAATGATTTGGAACCTTAATTTTTTATTGTCCAAGACAATGCAACATTGTCAAGTGCACTGCAGTCAAACTCACCCCTTTTTATTATTCTTTGAAAATCCTCTGTTTTGTCTTTTATGTGTTATATACTATATATTATATAACATATATTATATGTTATAGACTACATACTATATATAATATAATATATACTATATGTTATATGCTATATACTATATACTATATAATATATACAATATGTTATATATGTTATATACTAGTATATACTATATAATATAAACTATATACTATATGTTATATGTTATATAATATATACTACTATATACTATATATTATATAATATATACTATATGTTATTATCTATATACTATAAATAATATAGACTATATGTTAAGTTATAATATATATGTATATATAATTATACAATATATTAAAAATACTATATACTATAAAAAATCTTGATGTTGAAGGATAACAATAAATGTTGCGCAAGACTTTCAGCGATAGCCTAGCGCGGTCCAATGGTAACGAGGCGCCCCCAGAGATAACGGACTCACTCGAACTCGGGTTCGAATCCCGAATCTGGGATCCTCGTGCCATTTTTTTGGCATTTATAAAACGGATTTCAGAAATCCGTTTTTCAATTAATTAAATCTGAAAAACGGATTTCTGAAATCCGTTTTTTAAATAAATATTTTTTAGAAAACGTATTAAGAAAATACGTTTTCTACTGGGCATGAAAAAAAATACAAGTTTTTTCTATTGTAACACCCACAAAACCTGTTCTAACAATCCAAACCAACAAAACAAATCGAAAATACACAATCTAAACCAAAATACCATCAAAACCAAAATTACAGTAAATACCATCCAAACAATTCCAAACAAATCATCCAAACAAATTAAAATAATCCAACCAAATCCAAATGAACTCTCCAAACAAATCCGAATGAACACTAACAAATCTAGTTTACCCACTCATCACGAAGTCTAGACCTGTCGGTGCGAGGATGTGAAGACGGACACTCATCCACAACATGATTTGGATCACCGCATCTAATACACTGTCCCCTATCCCTCCTGGGGCGTGACCGATGATCCATTATTTAGTTAGCTTATAAGCTTCATGTATTCAAATAAGTCTCGTTTGGTAGAACGAGCTTTTTTAAAAAGCTCGAGCTTATCTCAGAAGCTACTTTAAGTAGCTTTTCAAATAAGCTAGTTGATTTTTTTATTTCAGCTAGCTTATCAGCTAATTTTACCAAACACTTCTACAATATAAGTTAGCTTTTCAGCTATAAGTCATAAGCTACAAGCTATAAGCTAAAAAATTAAAAATAAGCTATAAGCTAGCTTATCAGCTATCAGCTAGCTTATTAGCTAGTTTTACCAAACATAGCCTAAATTAATTGATGGACATTATATCTTAAACATGGGGAGGTAAATCGAGTAATTATTATTGGAGACTCGAATATAATTCGGGAATTAAATTGAGAGTTTATTCAATAATACTACGTTAGTGGAATGACTGTATTATTCCTATTTGGGTTTGGTAGGCTTGGTCTATAGTCTAATCCAAATAGGAGAAGCCCAATTTAATACCTCCTTAGCATAGCCTATAAATACATCACATCTCTTGGGATTAAGAAAAGAATTATTAATTCACGTGAGTCACACATTAGGAATGAGATTGGCCGCCCCTCTGTCTCAAAATATATATATTTATCCAACAGAAGATCCATGTGCAACCTAGCTCGCTGGCCCGTTCGCGCAAGCCCAGGGAGCAGTCCAGTCCGTTGCCATGCAGCCTAGGAGATGCGGAGGCCCCTAGCTCACAGGCTGAAGCCCGCGCGCCCGAAGCTGGCCCACGTTTGGCCCGCACGGCATCCCAGCCCACCTGCGCAGCTCCAGCCCAATCTCCGCGGCCCACTTCCGTTCCAACGCGGCCCAGATGCTGATGGAGCGGCCCATTGGCGTGGACAGACTTCCAGACCGGCCCAGCGTGCCCAGAACCGGTCGAGCTCGCACCAGGTGGCCCAGGGGCGATCTAGCAGCGGTTCGGGAGCGGTCCAGCTGGTTCGAGAAGTGTTGGTGAGTTCGGGACAAGTACCGGACGATCCAAAATGATTGGAGAACGATCCGGTGAGTCCAGAAAAATTTAAAAGGTATCGCTTCTAGTTCCGCTGTGCATAGAGTTTAATTCGTAAATAATCCGTGACTTGCATATTACCGTGATTCTCACAGAACCCAACAGATTGGAGGCGGTCTCGTGCATAATTATTTCATGGCTTTTTTTATTATTATGATTATTATTTTACTTTATTCATTTAAGACTAGTTTAAGAAATTTAAGAATAGTTAAGTAATCGAAAAGACATTCAAAAAACTAGTCTTGAAAAACTAGTCTTAGATTTGTTTGGATTTTTTGATTTGGTTTGATTAATTTTGAAAAAGGTGGTTTGGTTAGTTGTTAGTGAGTATATTAAAATAATATTTAAAATAAAATGGTTAAAGTTGATTTGATGTAAAAGTAGGAGATATATAGTTTGAAGTGATGGTTAGTTAAAATTATGTGAGTGGATGAATAGTGAATTAAAGTTGATGTGATGTATAAGAATGATTGATTGATATTATTTAATTATATTGATAATATTGTTGATAGTGAAGTTGAGTTAAAGTTGAATTAAAAAAAGTAGTTGAGTTAAAAATGATTGGATTTTTTTTGATAAATTTGTATCCAAGCATCCTCTAAGAGGCTAGTCTTTAGGGGAGAACGAAGAGACGTACGAAGACTAGAATTACTATATATTTAGATGTAAGTTCTTATAGCACCCACAATGCTTTGGGTCTCTTAACAAAAAATCACATGCCACATGGGAAAGACTTAGTCTATAAAAAAATACTTCCCAATGCAATTAAAAGTGGACATGGTCTAGCTTATGTGGCAATGAAAAAAAGAGACCAAGTCCACACTTGAGTCTATTTTGGACCCAAGTACAAACTCAAACACTCATCATTTGTTCTTAATTTAATTTATTTTTAATGAATAAAACATATTAGAGCATTTCTATTGGTTGGCATGTATGCTAGACCTAGTCTTTTTATTTTTGCATTGCATAGTTTTTGAGTTTTTTAACTTGAGTTTATCTATGTCATTTAAAACTCAAGTCCAATTATATGCCACATATACAAAAAGAGACCCAAAGCATTGTGGCTGCTCTTATGATCAGTGGTGAAGATTGAAATAAAATACAAATTATCGTGAATTTATACTCTCGAGTCCTTCGTACGCTTGTGCCTGCATCAAACTCTCAACAGGAACCAACCAAAATCGAACAACATTGGCTTTACTCCACAAATCGAACATTCAATATAATAATCGTCGGCAGCACAATATACACAAACCTCTTGAAACTGTAACAGAACTAAAAAATGAGTGACATAGAAAGAGAAGCAACATTCTCCTAATCCCTCCCTCTATAGTAACAACATCTGAAACAAAACCATACACAATGATCATATATTTATGAATCATGGGGCAGGTTGGGTGGTGACGGCAGCCAAGATATCAGCATACCCAACCACACCAACCAAGATATCGCTATTATCATCATCATCGACTTGAGTGACCCAAACGTGTGTGGCCCTATGGGACAACATCTGTGCCATCACAGCTGCCAACGAGCTTGTCTCCCTACACGTAAGAGGGGCACTCCTCCCCCTATACATCCCGAAATTCCCATACAATCCAATACTCTTGCTGCTACTGAATATCTTCCTCATCTTAGAATTGTTATTAGTATTGCTACTCGGATTCTCACCATTACTAATATTTTTATGATTATTCTCTTTAATACCCTCACCTGCCATGGAGGAGGAGAAGGAGGAGGAGGAGTTGTTGTCTTCCTCGATCCCCATGATGAACTGGGCAGCGGATAGGTTAGCGAGTGCCCAAGCAGCGGCCAAGAAATCGGACTTCCAGAGCTTCGCGGAGGATATCTCCCCAATGATCTTCTTCTTCGTCTTCTTCTTCTTGCTGTCGGTGGGGTCCACCACAACGATGGCCACCGCGCAAGGCTCCTGTGGGCGCATGGCGGCGGCCTCGGCTGCCGGGCGGGAGGCCTCCATCCAGCAGTAGTCACGGCAATTGATGGCCCCGAGGGAGGCGATGGAGGAGAGGGGCAAGGGGGCCAGGGCCCCCAGGCAGCCGATGAGGAACCGCAAAACGTCCTCCCTCGACAGGCAGCAGAACCTGTCTTGCACACACGATGTTGGAAGACGGTTAGTGCTGGATGGGTTCAGGAGGCTGCTGTTGCTGCTGTTGTTCTTGAGCCACTTTCCGTTGTACAGAATGGAAAACCGTTTGCTAATTCCTCTCCAAGTTAGGCTCTTTGGCACCACAAGTCTCTTAACCCCTTGTTTCATCATCTCCAAAGCATCTATTAATCTTTTTTTTTTTTAATACATATATGAGAGGAATAGTATCATCACCAAGAGTTGGAGTTTGATCAGCTTCTCACCCACTTACACAGTTTCAAACTCTTAAGCATAATACAAAATACAACCAGATATTATGTATTAACTTAATTTCGTTAGTTTTGTTCTATGCAATCACCACTGATCATAGAAGAACATTACTTTTGACATTTGCTTCGGAACAATGGCTTCATACATGTACAGCCCCACACATCAATCATCAAAATTTCTAGCATCGCAAGTTCATGGATCGGGATCATTAACTATCCCCCAAGCATAGACTTTTATACCATGGAATTTGGAAAAGGAGGGTTTTCGACATGGCAATTACAATTTTAGTACTTTCTGACCAAAGACCAATAGCACCCAACAATTGTCAGGTTCTAGCAGATTGATGTTTCCTTTTCTGTTGGGCTTATGGAGGTACATCACTACTCAAGTAGGCAGTAGCTATACCACAAAACAGAATTGTACATAACAAAGCCATGAAAGAATAGAGCTTCCCAAAGAAATATATTTCTAAAACCATTGCAAGTAAAGCGTTCTCTAGCAAATTGAGCTAATTTGCATGGATATTTTCTCGTCCAGACATACAATAACAATACAATCTCCTGTTCTTCCTGATGATGCGAATTGAAGCACCAGATAAGGGACCTCTATGACTATATAACACCATATACTGCTCCATCCGTAACAACTGAAGAAATTTTTTGTCCTACTCATGAAGACACACACGCACACACACCAATATTCATGGAATGCAATCAAAAATGGAAATGTAAACACAAATGGAATAGGACGAACCTTGTGCCAGGATCAACAACCTTAAGGGCGGAGCTATTGGGAACAACAACATGAGAAACAGGGGTGCTCAAGGCCTTATCCTGATCGGCCAAGCATTCGTCTCTGGCCAAGAAGGCTACAATGTCCAGCGCGTTGAGAATCCCGACGAACCTCTGCTGCCTGCTTTCGGCACTCTCGGCCGCCGCCATCTTTGTCGATCTGTTCCTCCACACCGGTATCCCTCCTTCCGATGTATCCCCGATCGTCCGGATTGCCGCAGCCACAGTCTCCGTCATCCAAAACTCCGACAGCTCGGGCTTCCCCACCGTCAGATCTCCCACCACGTGGTACAGGAACAACGACGCCATCGACCGATCGATCAAATTCAGATTGAAATTAAATTAAACTCAAACTCAATTATCAGATTTGATGATTGTTATAAGAGAGAGTGGAGGAAGATGAGAAGAAGGTGAAAGGGGGCAATTGGGAAAGAGGTGATAAAAATAGAAACTGGAGATGGGAAGCAATTAGGAGCCATAGATTTGAATTACTATAATTGATTCAAAGCAGGTGTTGAAGACGGCAGCAGCAAAGCCCATGAGAAAGAGATTGTGGGTACAAACTTAACAACCAACAAACCAGCAGCAAAGATGATCTTTGATGATGATATAATATATATGAGCCTAATGCAATTATTGTGTTTTTTTTAGATATGGAGTAAGTGAGAGAGAGAGCAATAAATCATGATTGATCGAATTTTGCATCTTATCTTATACTGATGCATTTCTTATAAAGATGAAAATGAAAAAAATAAAATAAAATTATTATATTGCATTATTAATTGGTTGTACAAATTCTACACGACACTCCTCGAAA